CTTTTAATTTACTATCCAAAATAAAATAAAAAAGAATAAATACAATAATAAAATGATGTTCTTTTTCATTGACTGACATTGTTTATTCTTTTTTAATGATATTAGAAAGCAGTCGCACTACTGTTTCTTGTACTTAGAGCTTCTTCGTTTCGATTACTGTCCAGCTCCTTATCATTTCTGTATAGTATAGCGTATAATGTCGAGTCCTTTAAAAGCATTTTGCTTTTCTATTTCTTATTTATTTTTGGCAACTATCATAATCTTGACACCTAAAAAGATCATTTGAATTCTTTTTTTAATTTTTTTTGCAATCGAAATGATTGAATCAAATGAACAAAAATAAAACATTCGACATGGAACATCATCATTTGCTTTAGTATTCGTAACGGCTCCTTAATTCAATTCTCTTATTCATAAACAAGGAAAGCCATAACAAAAGCAACCCGATAATTGTATCATATCGCTAGATTATTCTTTTTTTCTTTTTACTTTGTTGTGCCAATGAATCTGTACTGTTTTAGAAATTCATCTCGTTTTTCCTTTTTCTCTTTCTGCATTCTCTTCTTTTCTCTTTTTCTCTTTTTCTCGTTTGCAAAGCCGAGAGCAGAAGGGTGTCATCTATTCTTACTCCCCTCCGGTCTTTTCTTCTCTCAGGTGATGATAGCGCTGTTCAGAACGCTTTTTTCTTGTATTGCACGCATAAGCGTCAAATCTCTGAAGGAAATCGTGTTATAACCAGTCAATCTCTAACATGCAAACGGTTTATGATATCAATTGAAGAGAAAAGAAATAAAAGATTTCTATTTATATCTATAATTTTTGCCCTTTTAGGATTTCTTGTCTTCAAAGAATTTTGTACAACCCTATGTGACGAACCTGTGCCTCAATTGAAATTCTATGAAGAGGTCTCTTATTTCGATTGTTAATTACGAAAACAATTTTTTTTTCTACAAATAATATTTAGATAAAACGATTTGAAAAACTTGAAACAGATGAAGAACGATGGCGTGTAGGAAAAGAAATTTACGATCAATTTATAATGAGAGAGCTTCTATCGAATTCTCATGTAAATGATACCTTTTGTTTTGGAATATTCTATATTTTTAATATAATTTTGTTTTCTTCATTGGTTAAAGACCTACTCCGAACGAGCTATCGAAAGTGTAAAGAAGCATTTATCAAAATATAATCCAAACAATTCAAAAAATAGCTTACCATCGAATTTATTTGAACCATATAAAAAAGAAATATGTGATTTATTACGTGGAAGAATATTTGACAAATTTATTGAATCAGAAAAATATACAAGATTTTGTCAATGGAAAAATTTTGAACTTAATATTCAGGTTTACAAAATGCAAATAAATTTTTGTAGTTGAAATCAATGTTTCATTCTATTTTAGTTGACGATGAATGATTTCAGTGTGCATAGAATAATTGGTCGTGGCGGTTTTGGTGAAGTTTATGGATGTAGGAAAGCAGATACAGGAAAAATGTAAAACGGCCATTTTCATTTAAACTTGAATATGCACTGATTATATTATTTATTTTGAAAGGTATGCAATGAAATGTCTTGATAAAAAGCGTATTAAAATGAAACAAGGCGAAACATTAGCGTTAAACGAACGTATCATGCTATCCCTTGTCAGCATAGGAGTATGTTGAATATTTTCTTCTTTTAGTAGTTTTATTTTTTATGGCTTCTTTCGTCGTTAAGGAGGAAGGTTGTCCATTTATTGTCTGTATGACATATGCATTTCATACAACAGATAAACTTTGTTTTATTCTCGATTTAATGAATGGTAAAAGATTTTCTTTCAAAAGAAAAATTATTTAAAAATTAATCCTTTTTTGTTTTGAATTAGGTGGTGATCTTCATTACCATTTATCGCAGCATGGTGTTTTTTCAGAAAAAGAAGTGAAATTTTATGCAGCTGAAATTATTTTAGGATTAGAACATATGCATCTTAGATCTGTTGTCTATCGTGATCTTAAAGTAAAATATAATTTGTCTTTTGTTTTTGTTTTTGTTTTCATTATTATTCTTATTGTTTAAAAAAAATAGCCTGCAAATATTTTACTTGATGAGCATGGCCATGTACGTATATCAGATTTGGGTTTAGCTTGTGATTTTTCAAAGAAAAAGCCTCACGCAAGTGTTGGCACACATGGTTACATGGCACCCGAAGTCTTAGCTAAAGGTGTTGCTTATGACTCAAGCGCAGATTGGTTTTCATTTGGTTGTATGATTTATAAATTATTGAAAGGACATAGTCCTTTTCGACAACACAAAACAAAAGATAAACATGAAATTGATAAAATGACCATGTCAATGGTATAAACAAAAATAAAAACAATACATGTTTTTAAACTGTTTTTTTACTGTCCCATTCTAGAATATTGAATTACCTGAAACAATGTCAAATGAAATGCGTACAGTACTAGAAGGATTACTTCAACGTGATGTTGATAAACGACTTGGCTGTATGGGCAGATTGTAAGCACACTTATATGTTTTTTTCTTCTAGAAAAGTTTTAAATGTTACTCATAGAGCTGAAGAAGTAAAAGAGCATCCTTACTTTAAAGAAATTGATTGGAAACAAGTTTATCTATTAAAATTAACTCCACCATTAATTCCACCGCGTGGAGAAGTTAATGCAGCTGATGCATTTGACATTGGAAATTTCGATGAAGATGACACAAAAGGAATTAAAGTTAGAATAAATAATATTGAAAAAAGGCAAACCTTTATCAATTTATTTTTAATCTTTGTAGTTAACAGAAGCCGATCAAGAATTGTATAAAAATTTCCCAATTGTTATTTCTGAACGATGGCAACAAGAAATAACTGGTAAAATCAAAAATTAGTACTTTAAGTATTAATAATAATTTCATGAGTGTTTTTTTCTTTTAAGAATCCATATTTGATACAGTTAATCTAGAAACCGATAGAATCGAGCAAAAACGCCGTGCAAAATTTAAACAAAATAATATTTATGATGATGAAAAAACATCTGATTTAATTTTACAAGGACAATTAAAGAAAAATACCGGAACATTTGGTTTTTCATGGCAAATACGTTATACAAAATTATATCCAAATCGACTTGAATTACATTATGAAAAGGGCGATAAAGATCCAGAGGTAAACTTCAACTTTATAATACACAGAACAAAAAGATCTTTCATTAAAACTTAATTGTATTTAACATATTCAGGAGAAAAAAAAGAAAATGAATCTGCATCTGAGAGACAACTTGAAGTATTCTTTCAGTAAAGACTTTGAAAATGTTTTGTTGGGTAACATAGAATCTGAACGAAAATGGAATAGATCTATCATATCGAAATCGAACGATGCCTAAAAACATTGAAATAATTATCAGGGGATATGTTGTTGATATTTTCCTTTACAATATCTATTGCACTATAATGCACTCAATGTTTTCTGAATTAATAAATGCACCAACACGAGAACACACGTTATAACTCATCTACAAATAGATACGTTAGTGATGAAGCCTTCATTGACAACAACAACAACAACAACAACAACAAGAGTAACAACGACTTGATTATGTTACAAAAGTTGAACTAATCGTTTTTTTCTTCTTCTAATATCAATGAAATAAGTGATAGAGTAATTGTTGTCAAAGCACGTTTATAGGATAATCTGAATACGAAACGAATAGAGCACGTTTGATCAAAGAAAATAGGTGTTTATTGACATATCCTTTAACGCTTATGTTACAAGAATAGAAAAAATAGCAACAAAAGAAGCAGTTTTCATAGAGTCATTAAAGAATTGAATAATTAAAATATCATGCTTTCATTAAGAAAGAAAGAAAAAAGAAAAAGATTATTTTATAAAAATTCTATTTGAATGCATACTGTTATAATTATCTTCTATGTATCTTAAAGATCAATATTTTTCTTTTTGGATGAATGATAATAATTAGGTAATCGTCCTAGAAGGTCATGCTATTTACACAGACTTGCTTCAAACTAAATACACTTTCAAAGCTACAGATCATTTCGAAGTATGTTAATAAAGAAATTTCTTTTTCACTGAAAACAGGTTTATACTATGGAAAGAATCGAACATATTGATTCAAAAGAATGTAAAGGACAGAAAACGATAACAATCCATTTAAAAGGTGGCAATGAACCTCGTTTGATGCTTTCACCACAGGTAAGATTTTATATTTTTATATTGAAAAACATATATTTCTATTCACATATTCGTATTTGTCGTCTTATTTACATGTTCGTGTTTATTTGGTCTTTTTTTGATGTTTTATATAAAAAAAAAAACTAAGTGTTCCTATGCATGATAATGTGCTTTTGTTATCTAACTATTTAATGAGTTTTGTGTTTGTATTAGCATGAGTATATAAAAATAGCTGAATGTTTTCTTTTTGACTTGTTTGGAAAATTTGTATCAATCTTCCATAGGATGAAGTGTCGTGGATTGAATGGAAGAAAGCATTATATGATACACTTGTTGCATCACAACAACATTTAACTGTTAGTGAAAAAGCATCAAAGATTTATGGGGCCGATGTTAGTAGTGCAACATCTACAAATGTTAATTCAAATCAACAGTCATCTGCCGGTAATCATCATAATTCATCATCGTCCGGTGGTAATATCAGTACTGTGAAGAAAAACAATGTTGCTGCAGCTGCACTTCAAGATTAGAGGAAAATAAATTTTAATTTGAAGAAAACTTGCACAAGAAAAAATAACTTTTTCCCTTTCGTTTTGGGAAACAATAATTTTGTTGTTCTTTTTTTTCTCTCTTTCGATTTGTTTTTAGTCATTGGATCACTGAACTACTCCTGTTGCTTCTTTTGTTGTCATTTACTTTTCATCTTTTCTTTGTAATTTTGTCTCGATTCTCTTCGCTTGTTTCTTCATTTGAAAAATCCCGTGGTATTTCGAAAAAAAAAGAAAAATATCCGAACATTTATAGGATATCGTCTCATTTCATGAATGGCGGATGGCATTAAATGATGCATTAAATAAATCAACATTAACGCTTCACTCATCAAAAAAAATTGGACGATTGCTAATGCCAAATGGTAATGGATCTACAGGTAGTACGCAAAATACTAGTGGAATAACAACATCTAGTGTCGTTCAATATTCACAACAACTGCAACAACAGCAATAACAAATTTTTAAAAATTTCTCATATATATTTTTTTCTTTTTCTACTTATCTCTTTATCTCATTTTCTAGTCATCTTGGCCTTCGTTTTTTTTTATAGTCGGTGGTTTGATCTGACAACAAAGCTACTCCTTCTCGTATCTTTGACCTTTATTCTTTTCATGTATATAATTATACATATATATTCGAAATAAGAAAACAGTGAAAAACCAAATTAGTCTATGTTTGTCACACACGTACATAAAACCTTTCTTTCTTTGTCGTACTTCTTGTTGATGTTGTTGGTTATCATTTTTTTCCTTTTCGTTTTCTGTTTTCTCTATCTCTATCTTTTTTTTCTATTTGGCCGGAAAAAATAATAATGAACAAATAAATTGAAATCGAATGATAATTTTCTTTCAGTATTATTCTAATTTTTTCTTCTAGATATAATTTTTTACTTCATTTTTATAAAGTTGTGAAAATATTCTTCCGTCCATGGATAATCTCATGTGATTATTTTCATACAATGACTTTTAAAACTTTTTTCGGTAAGGATTTATGAAACGAAAAAGCGAAGGCGAACAGGATTTTCAATGTTTTCATTGATTTTATGTTTCATCAATGAACTTTCAGTCGATTGTATTTGTTTTAAAAAGAAATTTTTTATTCCAGAAGACATAAAAGAAATAGTCATTGCAATACAGAATAATTTTATTTGTTTTGTTAAAAAGAATAGGCTATTGTTTTCAAAAGGAAAAAAGAGATTATAACAGTTTCCTATCAAATATAGTCCCTAAAAGTTCACCATAGAATGAAAGATGATTGATTAAATAAATATTACACTTAACTTTCAAATAAAAATATAATCATTCTAACTATGAAATAAAAACGATCAGTAAATTTAGTTTAATAAGTTTTCAACTGATGTCAATTCTCTTCTTACGTATCTCCTATAAGAAATAAAAAATTTGATAAATATCGAAATTTATTTAGTCTGCATTGTGGTATTACCCCACCTTATATCAACTCAAATACCTTATATATATCCCAATCAATATGGTCTTACTGTCAATGGTGAAGTGTTTCAACAGCAGCAAATGCACCATCAACAACAACTGCCAATGCATCAGCCACAACAACCACAGCAACAACATCAAATACAACAACAGCCACAACAACCGCAGCAACAACATCAAATACAACAACAGCCACAACAACCGCAGCAGCAACATCAAATACAACAACAGCCACAACAGCAGCATCAAATACAGCAACAACAACTACCAATGCATCAGCCACAGCAGCAACATCAAATACATAATCAACAACAACAACAACAGCCGCAAATGTATCCTCGGCAGCCATACTATCAAGGAAATATGCAAGATCCATCGATTCAATCTTCTGAATCTATCCAACCAATGCAACCTCTACAGCCGTTTGTTAATAATTTCCAACCAGCTGAAAATGATCATCTAAATGGTCAAGTTCCTGCTTTATCTCCAATCGGTTCAAGTGAACGTTATTTAGTTGGAAATTTATCTGAATCATTTTCATTTCAAGTTGCACCACCATCAACAAAAGTAACACACTTAGGTTTAAATGGTTATTCATTATATATTGTCGGTATTGGCTTATCAGATAAATCGAAATTCCAGTACGATGAACAAAATAATCATTTGACTATTCTTTCACTTGATTCAACGACAGTTGGATATTACTCAGCAGTTGATGCTAATTGGCAAACCTTTGTTAACATACTTAGTGCTATCAATGGTAATTTATAAAAAAAGAAGGAACCTTTCAATTTTTTTCGTTTTTATTTAGTTTCTTCGTTAAAAATTCATAATTCTCATACTAGTGAAGATAATAATGGTTCATCTCTTGTTTCTTGTTCCGTATCAATAATTCGTTCAACATTTAAATTAAGCGAACCACCTTCATCGTCGAATAATCTTGCTATTCCATCGCCATCTTCGTTACCATTATCGTCACGAACATCAGCAGTTTTGGCCGGTACTGAAAATTTACCTCGCCTTGATTTATTCTTATCATCACGCGTACAACAATCAGCGCTATTAAACAATAAAATCTATAATGATACATTAAATGAATATGTTTTTACACGTACCATATCAATACAACGCCCATTAACGCGAGTTGATCACAATGGAACAGTTCAATGTCAAGTTGAATCAAATAATAATAATGGTGTTTTTCTTATCAAAACACTTCCAATTGATGTAGCATGTAAATTTTAATCCAACATATAAATATGATTTATATTTTATTATTATTTTTTTCACCATAGATGGACCTAATTTAGAAGCAGGTGCTCTACCGGCTGTTAATTTAGAAAGTCGAACGTCAAACTCAATCTCAATGGAATGTCAAATAGAAGCAAATCCAACTCCATCATATATTTGGTATGACATGTTAAATAATAATTCAACAGGAATGATGCCATATTATGGTCAACAAAATCCTTATGGACAACAATATCCATTACAATCTCCATTAAATATGCCCATGAGTGGATTAACTGTATTTAGTACAACAAGACAAATACAAAGATTGTATCAACATCCAGGACAATATGCTATGCAATGTCAAGCACAATCACGGGGAAAAACTATTAAACAAGACTTTTTTATTACAGTTTTACGTAAGTCAATTGATAATTTTATTTGATTAATAAGCTAATTAAAAGTTATCAAATACTGAATTCATTTCTAATATCACTTGAAAAGTATTTATATATAAGTCTCACATTTTTGTCAAATTTTATGTTTAATTCATCAAAACAAAACGATATCATGGAATTAGAATTACCATACGTAATTTCCCGCTAATTAACTTGTAGAACGAAATGAAATTCTTTTGAACTAACAAATAAAATGGATGATTTAGCACTTGAACCATTATTCATAAACACAATTCAGAGTCAAAAGAATCGTTTTTAAGTGTTGAAATAGAGCTATGTTGTCTATCGGGAATTAATCTATTCACATTAATTGTAGGTTAGATGAGGTTTTAACCATTATTGTTTTGATTTTATGGAATTTGGAAGTCTGAAGTTCGGCAATGCTGAATTTCTGTAGTTGCTTTTAATTTTTCATGAAATTACAGCAATAATAATTATTTATGAATATTTTATTATTCTTTTTCCCTATTGAAATTATAAAAATATTCATAGTAGAAGAAATCATACTCAACGAGTTAAACGCAATTAATACGATATCAAATTCTTGAACTTTGTTATAAAATTGGGGTTTTCACATGGGGGCATCTTTCATTTATTCACTCTTCTTTTCTAAGTTACCCGATGACAATACTAGTCATCATTTATGAGTGCGGGGTGTTCTTTTTTGTAGTGTTCATCACATAAAGTTCCACGGTCATTTACGACTGAATTCATACTCACATTCACATACGATACCCTAAGTATAGACATATATATGAAACAAGATTTTTAAATCTGATATAATTATATTTCATTTAAAATATAAGAGAGACAATATTTTTAAGGTAACTTAAATAGGGTTCGAACAAATTTCATATCGATTTTCATAACTTTTCGTTTGTAATAAATATAAAACTTAGAAGTTATGAATGTATTACGTAAATAGAAGTATAACATCAGTTTTATATTTCATTTATCTACAAAGTATAGTTATAGCTAAAAACAATTTTCAGCTGTGTCGTGAGGCATTCAATTTAGCGTGAACAACAATCCAAATACTAAATTCATTATATATGTTGATCCCATCCTAAATTAATACATTAAAATAGATTTCAGAATTTTTGTCAGTGATATTTATTTTTCTGATGTCGAGGAATTGACTACTACAATCGATCAACCTAATGAAACCAGCCTTGCTAATTTCTGTTGACTGAGCAACCATTATTTTTCCTATAGATATCTCTAATATTGCATTATCTAATATAAATAGTTTAGAGATGAACTCAAGGAAAAACTGATCAGTCTAGAGGGTTCCTTCGTAAATTGAACATTTAAGTTTCGCATCATCACTTCTTTAAAAATTGGAAATTCAGAAATGCAAATTTGATTTATTAACTAGAATAAGATCTCGTGCACAGTCTTATCTTGTCAGTCTACAAATTATTTATTATATTTAGTGAATACTTTTTCAATGTAACCATATTCATAAATAAAAAGTATTTCATGTCAAAATATTCGCTAATATGTACGAAATCTATATTTAGATAAATAAATTTGGCATGAATAAGAGAGAAAGAAAAAGTAAGAACATACTTTTGTAATGTTCCATGGAATTTGTTATTCCCTGTGGCTTTTTTTGCATGATTATAGTATTTTGTTCCTATGCTTCGTTTTTTTCCAAACTATTTTTTTAAGAAAAAAAAGTATATTTTTTCTTGCATCACTAACTATTCTCCTTTGTTATTAGCTTCATCAGATCGATTAAAAGCAGGCACAGATGGAAATAGAGAAAGTAAGTTTATTTGATTGAAAAACGAATAGATTTTTAAATGAAATTTATATTAGAATCAAACAAAACTGCAATTATTATTGGACTGATCATCGGTGGTATTTTCCTTCTGGTTCTTGTTGGTATCATCATAGGTGTTATCATATTTTTAAAACGTCGTAAACCTGATGTCAATGAAAACCGTTCACTATCTTGTATGTATTTTATTCATCGTTTTTTTTTGGTTAGTCAAATTTTTACAATTTTTCTCTTTTATTTTAGCGAAAAAATCAACAAATGAGTAAGTTGATATCTTTCTAAAAGCCATTTTTCTCTATCATTTTTTTCCTATTCAAGTAAGCAAGGAAAACTTCGTTGGGGTAACAATAGTAATTTGCCAATTGATCATTCGAAATATAAACATGAAGCATTGAAAGGCGATTCATCATCAACATCACATTTAGTTGAATCTGCTGAGAGTAGTACAAGTCATGCTCCACCGATTCCAAACCGCTCATCACCAATACCAAGTACGCATTCATCATATCGTCAAGTTCCTGTTTCTCTTCCACTTGCATATCAAGAAGCCAATGCATTTCCAGGTTCTCGTCGGCCTCCACCAACGCGTTCTTATTCGCCTGATCAAGATGATGGAGATGAAATTAATGCTAGCATTAATGCAATGCCAATAACAACAAATCGATCACGAACAACAACGCCTTTTGGCTCACGCAAATCCCTTTCAGAATCAATTCAATCTTTAAGATCTAATCAACAACCAGCTTTATCATTACCTGTTAAAAAACGTTCACAGGAAGCTTCAACATTACCTTCATCAACAATACCAAAACGTGATCAACAAACACCTTCACCAAAATTATTTAGCACTAAAAAAGATTATCAACATCATCATTATCATAATCCAGCACAATTAAGAGCTCAACAACAAGCAAAAAATAGCGATGCATCATCAGAAGAAGATGAATCAAAACATCAACAACAATTAAATAATGCCACCGAAGATTCAGCTGTATGTATAATTAAGCAATTTTAAACTAAATATCTTTAAATTCTATCACAACTATACATAGATTAAACACATCTTCTTTCTTTATGTTTTGATTAATCTATAGAAATCTTTCTTTTGGGATAAAACAACTATGAAATATATTTATTATATGCATGTGTTATCTATTATTTTCATACAATATTTTTCTTTCAGTTTCTTCCGAAAAAATTTACATTTCGTGTGGTAAGTTGTTTGTATCAATTGTGATGAACAATATTAAGTGTTCTCGGTTTATTTTTGCCTGATATATCCTGCATTAATGCTCTTGCTCTCATTTGATGAAGCATTTTATTCCCGCTTATTTTTTTTGCTTTTTCATCGCGTTCAATATAAATAATTATACATGTTTATTCATAAATATTTTACTATTATTTTTAATAGCAAGCCGGTCCTGTGCCTCCAACAAAAGCATCAATCAGTAATAATCAAAAGGAATATCAACAACAGCATGGACGTCGCGTAAGAACACCACCGCCACCTCAACAAATGGTCGTTCATCAACCAACAGCCGTACATCATGATGAACCTCCACCATCTTATCGCCAAGCTGCTAATTCAGCTTCTTTATCTACTGCTTATGTGTATCAAGAACCAACTGAAGTTTAATAAACAGTACCAGTATTCTATCTCGAGTTTATTTCTTTTAATTTTACATTTTCTTTCGAATAGCACTGCACATTATCTTTTTTGTTCTTTTTTTCTCTCTTTTTCATTATTCATATATCCAACTGTTGTGCAATTATGTTTGCGATGAATGAATCTCTATTGTTTTAGCGCTCGCCATTATCTACATGTGTTTATTCTTGTATATATATATAGAAAATGCTTGATTTCGAGTATCAGATAAAATGACCAATACTAATGCATGTTTGTTTTTGTGTACATTCCACTCTATCGTCTCAATTCTCTCAGCAGTTGTTCATCTTCTTTTTGCCTATCAATTATTATATTATGTAATGATTTTTTCGGAGGAAATTTTAATGAATAAAGATACATATTTACTTCCAATAAATAATAATATTAATATAAATCCAATTTTATAACAATGCTAAGCTTATTGAACCAGTTCAACAGACTTATCCGATGAAAAACGAATAAATCAAAAATCTATTTTTATTGGAAGCAGCAAAGTAGCAAGTGTTTTCAGTCGAAATTAGAAGAGAGATACACAAGAAATTAAAGTTATTCTGGTCTAACTTCTTTCAGGATGTAAGTGTTAGATTGAAAATTTTCTCCAACTTACATGCACCGTTATTATCTATAGATGAGTACAATTGTGCTGATTGTTTATACATGTCTTGATGATAGCACCATTGTCCACATAAAAAATGATCAGTTCATAGATAAGCAGTTAAACTTTTGTATTATAAAAGCAATATATTTATTTGTTCGTGTTTTACTGCATACATTAGTACGATGAAAAACTTCTTGGCATTTATTCTACTTCTTTTTTTTTAACTTTCTAAGTAGATATTTGCGTACGTACTATTCAAGTTATTTTGTTAAAGTTTGTCTTCACATCTGACAAAACATTTCACATACACTAACAAGGTAGTCACAAAAAGAAACAGAAGAAAACGGAATAATAAAAATGAATATTGCTGAAAAACGCAAAATTCACCCAAATCACCACAAATAATTTAAAGAAAAAAGAATACCAAAAATTTCTTGTGTTATTTTGCATTGTGTATAGTCAACTAGAACTGCTATATAATATTTCGTTACTAATGGGAATACTGTACATATGGAACGTAGATTTAATCTGAACAGCTAGAATGGTATTTAATCTAATAGAATAACCATGATTTCAGTGTCAACAAGAACGACATTTTGCTGCTTTCTTTTCTCATTTTTTCATTACATTAGTTGATCTCGCTTCCACATTGCGGCTACACACTCTCATGGAGAGTAATTAGCTTTCAATTTCTTTTTGAATATTTTACTTCATTTCCCATCTGTTGAATTTATTTTCCTTCAGTTGATTGTTCATTCTCATTCTACTTGACTATTGTTAAGTCTTGAAAGTAAACAAGATTTGTCTCGTCAATCGTATTCAGAAAGTAGTTTTGTTGCGTTTGAACATTACTAAAATGACATGTAATATATTGAAGAAGTATTGTCTTGAATTGAACATTTTTAGTACCGATTCAATCGATGTGCAAAGTGCAAACCGTGCTTCAACAGCGTTGGACTTCCCGTGTCTATATTGTGTCATTGACTGTCGTTTTAATTATTGTTGCTCTTGTTTCTGGATTGCACATTCGATCCATAAATGAAATGATATATTCACCTTCACATTCTCAGTTCACCAAAATGATTGAAAAATATTCAAGTACACTGCGATGCCCTGTTCAAAAATTGGTATTGCTTATGAAACATTTGTGGTTACACATGTTGACTTTCATCAAGTATGTTCTAGTACATTTGTTAAACAAATATGGATAAATTCAATCATTTTACAAAATCCTGTTGTATCTTCAACTATATATGATATTCGATATTATCTGAAATTTTTTTGGGAATTCATAGCTGGCTTTTGTTCAGTGAGCAATAGTACTTGGGTTGATGCTGTAACAAGTTTTAGTGCACTACGTATTGTTAGTCCCATGGCAATAGATAAACAGAATCTTCGAATTCAAGCTCAAATTATACTTGATAGTTCTATATTAACAGCTCAAGTTGTATTGACTCGCCATTTACTTGCTATTCGACGTACAACTACTGAAAATCAGTTCGTATCTGGTTTAAATGCAAATGTTTATTTAAGCTATTCATCTCCAGATCTTAACAATACAAATATTCCAAAGATGTGGCCAAGAGTATATAATAATTGTTCCTGCTTGAATTATCGTGGTTGTCCACATTCAATTCTCATTAATAATAGTCATCAACAATCCGTTACGATACCTGGCATGATCGGTGATTGTTTTATTGGCGATGCTACACTAGCTTCAACACTCGAATCCTACTATAATTCGGCATGTTTTTCTCTGTTGCATAAAGAATCAAGCAAAAACGTTAGCTTATTACTGAATAGTTCAAGCAATCATTTCCTTACTAATTCTACAATCCAAATGTTTTTCAACGAAACCATGATTGATAGTTGGAGCACTGAAATTATGTTTGAATCATTTTACTAACAATGCAATCCGATTCATTGTTCTTATAGTTATACGAAACAATTTTCTGTTATTTTTATTATAACTACAATTATTGGGGTGTACAGTGGAACTTCTATTGTGTTGAGGCTGATTGTGCCTATAATTTTAAAATGGATTTTTCGATATCGAAATCGAAGTTCAACAGCTGATGTTAAGGCAATAACGACTGTGCCCTCGCGTCGACACTCACGTACGTAAAAAATCATAAGATGAAAGACCTTCGACTATGTCAATATTCCGTCGATTCTAAATACTTTCTCGAATGAATTTAGGTGTTAATCACGCACGGGATCAGAGTGCAATTAATCCAAACGATTTAAAAATAGCAATATAAATCATTGAATAGAGTATTTCATCGTTTCTCGTCGTCTAATCGTAAATATTTCTAGTGTATCTAAATTTGTATTTTTCACATTCATCGTTTGAAGAAGCAAACGAGATTCTTTCGCGACGTGAAAAACCTATGTGAAATAGTATTGATTAATCAGAGATAGTGATTCAATGATTGGCAAATAATAAAGACTTCGCCTAATAACATTCTGCTGAGTATCTCGCTGTTATTAGATTATAAACAGTCTGGTGATAAAAGAATATTACGGATTCAATTGACAGGAATAATTCATGTAAAAAGATAGGACGATCATCATTTGAAACGATGCGAGTTTGTCGTATTTAAAATGAATAACAATATAATGGTGGTGATCGTTTATTTATAAGAAAAAGATCGATCAGACATGTTGAGTATTCATTTTAAAGAACATTTAGTCAGATGTGAAACATAAACACATGAACAAATATTTTATTATGGCACTGTTAAAATTCCAAAGTACTAATGATGCTGAATTCGAAAATTTCTAGTTTAGTCATCAATATTATATTTATTAACCAATTCTGTCTGTGTATAAAAATAAATTTATTCAAATATTCTCATTAATCGGGGCTTCTATGACTTTTAATATTTATTAACTCTTTTAGAATGCAAATCATTCGTTACATTTTGTCTTTCAGCTGTTATTTTTGACTGTGATAGCAACATGAGAGAGAGATCTGTTTTCAAAATGATTTGACTTCATGAATCATTCATTAGCTGTGATAAGAACAGACTGCTTATGTATACAAAATCGCTTATAGTTATAAAAGAAAAGGTGATTACACGTATGTTTATTACTCGATAATAAGTTGTTTTCTTTCTGCCGTAACAGGATCATGGTGAAGTGTCATCTACTATAATTTATTCAACAAGTTAATGTGGTTTTACATTAAAATGACTATATTGCATAATAACACAACAAGATTCATATCAAAATAAAGATGAAACATGTTATTTTCTTTAATTAAAAGTTTAAAATATTGACACATTTATCGATATATGTTGTTAGTGTACGGCATCACAATTAATGTTTCTAATAGAGAATATTCGTACACCATGAAATATTGTATTTAAAATATATTATGAGTTCTCACATATAAAATCGCATCAAACGAAAATCATACCCACATCTCTACTAAACTGGTAGACACTCAAAAGTGCCTATGTTTCAAAAATGAAACAGGCTTAGAGTAGCATTGTTGTTAGAAAAAAATGACCACAGAAGATAGACTAAAGGTGATGTTTAACAAGAACAAAAGCATTATTTTGTAATATTTTTTCTTTCTGTTGTGTTGCAACTGGTGCATCTATATGAAACAAAACTATTTTCACTATCGTACATTCGACATTTCGTCCCTGCTTAAATGACAACTACTGGAATTGATTGGGACTTTTCAAGACGTTTCTAAGTATTTCGAGATAAATAGCGTACAATTTTAAAGCATATATAAAGTGTTTGTGTGTATAAAATGGAAGAAGCGGAGGGGGAGGTGTAACGTCTTGATGAGGATCAGAGACGCAACTAATAAAAATGCTAGGTGCCTCAATACTGGTTATGACAGAATCACAGCAATGGAAATTAAATAGTATTGAATATTGAATGAAGATCCAATAATTTATTCAATGAACAGAGATAGTTGAGAATAAGAAGAACTCCACAAGCAAGTAGCTGACACGAGTCGGAACGATTGTGAGGGACAATCGAGTTAGATTGATTGAAAGGAATAATCAAGTTGAAAGAAGGTAATATGTAATTAATCAAAAGGATGATTTCTTTTGATAGAGAAGAGAAATAGAAGTAAGTAAAGATACGCTCGAATGATGAGCGAAAGGTATTGAAAAATGAGTATAGGTATATCTCAGTGAAGAGAGATATATGAAGAAGCTTGAAGAAAAGAAAGAGAAGAATAAGAATAATGAATTAACAATATTAGGCACAAAAACAAACAAGAGAAAAAGAGAGGAAAGCTACTCAGGTGAATGAATCCGACAACGGATCTTATCGAATCCTATGGAATCCGACTCCCGACATAATCCGATAGGATTCCTGGACACGGACCTATTGTCGGTTCCGACGGAAAAAATAATTTCCTTATTCACGATCAAATAAGCATTTTGAGCCATCAGAGCGCAAGGGTAATTCGTTAGAGTTGGATTCCGTTAAAATCCAACATCCGATCCGATTGAATCCAATACCAAGAATCCGACTGTAGGTTCATGTTCAGGAAGCCCATAAGATTTCGTCCATTGTATTGAAACACATGGTATTCGGTATATTCCCTGTATGACCCTTGCCGCAATCCGATAGGATCCTGCTATCGGAAAGATTCTACTGGGTAGAAAAAGAAACAAATAGGCACTGAGTTAACATCAGTAATGCTTATGCCTTCACAGAGGGTGCTGGAATATCATGATAAGTAACAAATTTGAGTAAACTGTCAATAGCAAAATAAGCCCTGAAAAAAGGATGTCAAGATACTTTGTCAACTAGTGTGGACATTTTTTAACCTAGTCAATTTTTTGTTGTCAATTTTCATACATCGAAAATTCCTAAAACGATGTGTTTTTGTGTGTTTGCAGCTTTTCTCTTGTTCGAAAAATGTCTGATATAAAAATTTAAAAAACTAAATAATATGTGTCATTACAGTTCTAGTCAGTATAATACGGAATCATATTCAAAATTTTCTCAGAAGAATTGCAGAGAAAAGCACCACTTAAAATCTTTTCAAAACAGAAGAACTACAACAGCAACAAATATCGGTCGACAAGAGATGTTAACACTAAGTTTTATTCTCTTATTTTGTTTGTGCTCGATCACCGCTGGATTATACATATTTGTTGTCCATCAAAGTGAGCTAGTGATTATTGAAAATCCATCTTTAGCCATATATGAAACGCTCTATAAACAACATTCATCAAACATTTTATGGCCGTGTTCACAAATATCAGTTCCATATGATACATGTTTTAATGTAACTTTTTTATTGCACCAAATCTGCACAAGTAGTTTGGTTTCGTTGGCATGGCTCGATTATCTGGCGCTTTTAAATCCAAATCGTTTACCAAGCTGAACAAGTAGCGATTTCATACGTGATTTTCGCACTTATGGGGCATCTTATTTTCAGTTTGTGGCCACTTTTTGTGTACTCAAAAAGTGAGTACACTCTAGAATCGATCAGTGTGTCCGTCCGGCCGTCCGTTTACACGATAACTTTCGACAGGAGAGTTAGATCATGATGAAATTTTCTACACAGTTCAGCCGCATCAATGTCTCAGTCGAGTTCGAAGATGAGAAGGATCCGTCAAGAAATGGTTGAGTTATCGAAAAAATTGTCATTATTGACCAGACCATCCCTGAGGGGGAGTACAGGGATTTTTCAAAAAAACGTTTTTTTCTCAGAATTATCCACAACTATATATAAATCGACTCAGTTTTTAACGCTGATTTTGAATCTGATATTAGTTTTGGAAAAAATCGTAGTTTTTTAACGAAACATTGACTGAAAAAGGTCTCAAAATACACAAAAAATGCATCTAGAAACCAAATTGCCTAGATATGTTTCAGATGACCAGTAGCTTTGGGGTTTCTCAAATGCCTGGTTTTGTAGCTAGTCAAAAAGACTATCGAAAGGTAAAATCCCGAACTCGATAGCTATTACTATTGATGATTTATTATGAAAATACTGATGCCTGTATCTATCATATATCTCTTATAAATTCATGAGGTTGCTTACGATCGTAATCCTGCTAGATACAAACACAAAACCATTCAAAAATAACTGTTCTTATCCAGTTTTCGAAGCTGAACACGAATCTGAGCTCAATTTCTGTGATCTCTAAAGATATTATATCACGCTGAGAGTAGAGTCAGTGATCACTGGATAGCGTTGCATACAGTGTGGTCCAGGCTAACTTAGCATCTCTGTATTTTCTCCTTGTAATTTAGTGAGAAGGGATGTATCTTGATGAGATCTATGCCTTACAGGAAAAAAATGGATGTACATTTTCGCTTTTTGAAGTACACAAAACAATCGGATGCAAATCCGATGTTTCCGCATTTTTTATTTTTTTTCTTGCCGAATAAATATTGAAGAGATGCATAACGTGTATTTGTATCTACACAATTCATTAATAACCATTTACCGCCTGAATCAGTTTTTTTTGCAACAAATTCAGTCAATTTTTGAATCCTTTATTTCTCAAGCGCGTCATCATTTTATATGGTTGGTAAACTGGATCGAAGTTGCAACTATGATTGATAATTTTTTGACAGGTGTAAATACGAATGCTCAAATCATAATCAACAACAATCGTCAAGTCATTATAAATGATGTTACTTATATGGTCGTAACAAAACTAGCTCACAACTCTTTGTCGAGTAGTGAAAGATGCTCATGTGGAATAGAGTTCGATCAGTGTCTTTTGAAGCCTATTATTTATACAAATGGATCAAGCCGACTTGATTTCCTTCAATTATTTGATGAATTCCAAGTTGGATGTGTACCTATAATAGGACTTTACCAGACAACGTTCGACTAGTGGTACAATGCGATTTACATCGAAAATATTGAGATGAAATATAGCATGGTCATAGATTCTCACTTTCCAT